TCACACGACTCCCACATCCGACAGGGTTGTGAGACAAAACCTAGCGGCTCCCTCCCTTCAGGATCGCCTCCTTCGCCACCGAGTGGATTGCCGCCAGCCCCGACTTCTCCGGGTTGCTCAGGATGACCGACCACAAGGCCGTGGAGACATCCCCCAGGCCGTTCGAGGAGCTGAAGCGCATGCGGGGGGTGCTCGCGTCGCCCAGGACCAGCCGCTCATCCCTGGGAGGCTCCGTTGGCTCCACCCTCTTGTAGAACTCCATCCGATCGCGGATCCACTGATTGTACAGCTGCTCCGGGGGCTCGTCCATCACCAACTGCAAGCAGGTGGCCTTATCCCTGTGCCACCCCGTGATCTGGAGCAGCCTGGTCCCCCCGCGGCTCGCCTTCCAAAAGCCCTTGCAAAATCTGCACATATAGCCGGTCTTGAACTTTTCCTTGCTCACCACTTCCCAGGCACTGATGCTTGGCAAGACCAAACCACACTCCACGGAGCCCCAAAACACATGCTTCGCCTCCTTGGGGAAGTGCTTGTTGACGTACTTTTGGCCCACGACCGCCGTCACCGTGGCCGTGGTGATGGGCGGGTACCGCCTGGTGCCCTGGTCTGGGGTGCGGAGCGTGGTGTCTGCCCCCCCCCAGGACCTTGGCCTTTGGGTCCGCCTCCTTGGCCGCTCCCCCCCCCGAGCCAACGGCACCCAAGGGGGGGGAGCAACCCAGCTGCCGGATGAGGTCCTGGGAGTAGCCCAACCTGTCATACAAGGCCCCCGCCGCCTCCTGCGGGACCTGCTCGACCCAGTCGTGGACCACATTGCAGCGCCAATTGACCTTCACCTCCACCATCGACGACTTGCTCAGGCCCGCCACCAACTTGGTGTAGACCGAGTCGAAGGCCTTCAGCGAGGCCAGCGGGAGGGTGATCCGTTCGTCGCAAATTGCCCTGAACCGCAGCGCCTCCTTACTGTCATGGATGGGGGCCACCGGCATCTCCATCACGGGCAACGGGCAGTTCAGGATGAAAGTCTTTGCCGCCAAGAATGTCCCCATCTCCTTGAAGATGTAACTCCACTCCTCCTTGCTGTGCGGCTTGGGGATGCCCAGGCTCTTCAGGAAGGGCACCGCCTCCTTCCTCATCTGGATAATGTTGCCCATCCACTTGTCCGAGGTCGAGCCCTCCGCATGTTGCGTCTTCACAATCAACGGGAAGGTGGTCCAGGCCGAGTAGATATACTTAAATGTGAACCTGTGGGCGTACACTCCCGTCAGCCACGTTCTCGTCTGTCTGGTCCAAAACACCCCATCACCCCTCGCCCAGAAGATACCAACCACCTGCTCAGGTGCCGGGCGCTCACCCGATTCACCTGAGCCCGGATCTCCAAGGCCGTGTAGATGACTGGGTCGATGTGGTCCTGCTCGCACGTGCATGGGAAAGGCCCCTCTCCAGGGCCTTCCTGAGATCATCCGGCCACACTTCCAAGGGCTTGAGAGTGTGGTTGAGCATCCATGCCTGGTTGGTGTCCTGGATTCGCTTGTTTGCCGCCTGGGCCTCCTGAATGGAGCCCATCGCCTCAGCCAATGCCTGGCTGGCGTCAACGCCCTTCCCCTCCAAGTACTCTCTCAGCTTGGCCTTGAAACGCTCCAGGTTGACCTTCCTGAGGGCACGGGCTCCCTCGTTGGCCACCTCATCTGACGGCAGGGCCTGCATGCCCTCCTGGAGGGGCGCCAGGATCGCCATCTCGTTGTCCAGCATCTCCTCAGTGACCACCTCCTTGTGCAGCCGCCTGGCCGAGGCCTCCTCCGGAGTCGGCTCCCGCTGCTCCCGCAAGGCCTTATGCAGCTCCTCCTTCTTCCTGATCGCCTGGTCCACCTGGGGATGGTAGAGCTCGAAGCTCTGAGCCTCCGCCTCTTTCAGGGACCGCTGCACTTTGACCCGGATCTCCTGGCTTTCCCGGACCTTCATCGCCTCGTCATCTGCCTCCATGGACAGGATCTCCTGCCGGATGTCCACCCGCATGTTAAGCGGGACCGCATCTGCCATGGTGATCTCATCAGCCGAGTCCGTTTTTGGAGGGGCTCTCCCCAAGACCGTGCCGTCCACCAAGTTGCGGTCGGCCTGTGCCAGGGTACCACCGGGGCCAACGGCACCCAGGCTTCCCCATTCCCGCTGCTGGATCCAGATTGGCTTGCCCTCCAAGATGAGCAGGTTGTAGGTGATGCCGTCCGCCTCATAGGTGGCCGAGGGTGCCTGGAAGGGGGCGGACTCCTTGCCGGGGCAGACCCAGCACTGGCCACCCCGTTCCGCATGCCTTGCACATGAACTTGTAGTCGGAATGACCTGCGTCGAGCCTGTACATGCGCTGGGTGCCGATACACGCCTTGTTCCTCTGGAACTGCGAAGCCCAGACCTCCTCCTGGCGGAGCTGGATCTTCATCGGGACGTACGCCTCCAAGATGCGGATCACCAGGTCCTCCGTGAGGTTCTTCCCAACAAACTTGTAAAACAGGGAGACCGCCTCCTCCACCGTGATGTCTCTCAGCAAGGTGGCCGCCGACGCTGGAAGGACTGGAAACAAGTCCGGGAGGTCCACCAGCTTGAAGTACCCAGGTTTTCCGTCCACCGGCACCAAGGTGACAGGTTTGTTGGCCTGAGACGTAGCCTTCTGAGAAGCCGCCACAAAGCCCTTCAGTCTCTTCGTGGGTGGCGTCTGCGCCTCCTCCGGTGGTGTGGCCCGCTCCGTGCCGTCCGCATCCCCCATGTCCCTGTCGCCCTCCTCGGCGGGGCCAGGGGCACCCAAGCCGGGAGTCGGTGTGGCAAATGCCACTTGGAGACGCTCCAGTGCACTGGAGAGGTCATTCATCACATCGGTCGCCGAAGCTGACGGGGGGGCCTCGGGCTCGTCCAAAACCAAGCCGGCCGCCACTGCCGCCTCCCGTGTGCGAATGTCCTGGGCCTCCTGGCTGGCCATTTCAACCTCCTCCACGGTGAGTGTCTGGTCCTCAATCAACTCAAAGGAAGTTGCCGAGGTTGCCGAGGAAGCCATTGCTTGGTCGGGGTTAAGTTCGAAAATGCAAAAGATCAAAGTTTTTCAATCAGCTTGGGTTCCAGGAACCCAGAGCAATGCTTGAGCCAAAATGGCACATGCCATTATGGTCAAGCATTCCACACACAGTTCATGTTTCCACATGCGTTTCAACATTAACAAAATCACAAGCGTTTCAGAGCCGCAGGGAAGGTCTGCACGAAACCGGGTGGCATAGATGCCGAGACACGAAGAACATCCCAGCGTGCCTGTATACTCAGCCGCTGGGGGGAGGGGGGCACGAGAGCGCGTATGTGAGCGTGATAGGCCCCGGGCGGTGAGGAGAGCAAGCTCGTGACAGTGGCGCCGTCGTGGCGCAAAACCGAAGCCTGCAACTCACTCCGCAGGAAGCCTCGAGCACAGACAGCACATGCGGCTTGAGACTTGGAGGCTTCAAGTGTCTGCTGCTGTAGCACAGTCCTACAAGTGGGCATGGCGCGGGAGAGACAAGGTGATGGCGTAAATGCATCGTAGGAGGACGCGCCGTTAAAACAATGGGAGCACGTAGCGCCAGCGTCTGAATTGGGTGCGAAAGTAGCAAGCACAGGGTGGACAGGCTGAAAGGGATCCTCTGCGGAAGGCAGCGCGGGCGCGGGCGAGGGACGCACAGATGGGGAAGACCCCTGGTAAAGCAAGAGGCAAGACAGGAAGGCCAGCACATAGGCAGTGAATCAATTGAAAGCATTCTTCCGACAGATTTGCAGCAACCCACGGCTGGCAGCAGGAAGGGCCCGAGGCGGACAGAGGCACTCGCGGAAGCGGTGCCACCAGGCGACCACGTCTGCCAAAGGCGAGGTTCGCCGAAAGCAGTCCGAGGCACGGAAGCGTCCCAGGGAGTGAAGGTCGAACGCAGGGCGCAAAGTGTGAAAGCTCGATGTAATGGGGGGATGCTTACAGCCGTGGCAGATGACATAACCTCTTTTTGCGTGCAAAAAGAACATGTGTAGGAATCCAGAAGTCGTGGCAGCTATTCCTGTTTCTCTTTGTGCATTGGTGAGCGTGAGGGAGCTTACATCGCGTCTGCTTGTCGCAGAAGAATTCGTGTGAGGCATTATGGAGCACCCAGAAGAACACGTTGTCCGAAGAACATTCGAGGGGTTGATTCCCCATTCTTTTCAACCATCGTTCTTTCCAAAAGCCGGTCGTCTTCCCTGGGTTTCCGGAGGTTTTCCAGAAAGATCCGGATCCCTGGAAAGAATGGAAATGGAAAGTACCCCTAGAAGCACAGTGAGAACCGTCCAAGCGTCTGTCAGTGTTACCAAGACCCTTGAAGGAGGCCGCTGGAAAACGATTCGCTAGAATGGAGATCCCGTGGGACACCCTAGCAATGCAAAATGGCCCAGCTCACACATTGCCGAGGCGGGCATCGCAGAGACTAGGGTTCCATGACAGAGCCAGAGGTCGAAAAACTGGTTCCTACATTCAGACTGTCTTTGAAGTCCGCAAGAAGATGCCTCCATGTAGAAAAGACATCATGGAAGCGTGTCATTGCATCCAATGCGCATGTGCGCATCGGCCAACACATAATTCCTGCCCCTATGCCAATGCGTCACATCTGACATTGTAAACCTTGATAATGGGGTTGTGTCAATCCTTGCAATCAGACGCACCAACAGAAACGAAGCCCTCAAACAATGCCCAGGGCTCCTCTTTCTTTGAGAGCCCATCTAAAAATGCTGTTTTCCTTTTGGCTTCGTTTGAATACAAAGAAAGGGCCTTTCTATGGAAAACCATTCTACATCTAGTCTGTCCAACATACGCACTCTGATACCAGCAGCTTGCGGCTAAGGAGCTATTTTGCAACACCAAACCAGCCCTCAACTGCCCACGTGTCCACGAAATCGTGGACGCTTTTTAGCAGCCCTCGACCTTGGGAAGGCAAAACCGAACCCTCCGCCCGAAACCAAATCGGCCCAGGCACAAGTGTGCCCTTTCTAGTCCCTGGAGCCGTAGGGCCCTGCAAACGGAACCTCTGGCTTGGGCCAGAACGCGCAAACACATCTGATGCCCAGCATGAACGGCACAAACCGTGACTTGCCCAAATGAAACAAACGGCCTTTGGCTTGTTAGACACAACCCGCAAAAAGAAGGAACAGGGTGCCAGGTGGGCAACTGGGACCGGTGTTCCAACAACATGTTTCCCGGTTTCCTCTTCTAAGAGAAGCGCACCTGTACCCTGCTCAAAAACACCCACCTGCAGGAGTGAAAATCTGGGGGTCTAAACGAAAGCCACTTGCAAAACCGGGAACGGAATGGATACGGCACTTACATCTGCAGAGTTCGGGAGCTGCGGAATCACTTTGGATTCTTTCGTTTTTGCTTGTTCTTGTTTCTTTGGCTTTTTCACTCACAGTACTAACATGCTGTATTTCTACAGCATTTTACAAGCAACATGCACTCGTTTGCACCAGCACTGTCAACATCCCGGGTATTTTGACATCCCCGGCATCGGCTTACAACATCCTCAGAATCACCAGTTGGCTTCGGTTAGGATTTGGGTGGGTTCAAGGTTGGCTTAGGGTTGGTTCAAATGGGCTCATGGCTTGTCTGGGCCAAGTGTTTAGGGTTGGTTTAGGGTTGGGTTAGGGTTTGTGTGGGGCGTGCTTGGGGGTTGTTTATTGTTGGGTAGGTTGAGGTCTAGTTTAGGGTGGGTTTAGAGTTGGCTTGGGGTGGGTTTAGCGCCCGGTTTTGGTTGGGTTGGCGGTGGGCTTGGGGTTGGTTTAGGATTCGTTTCGGGTGGGTTTAGTGTGGGTTTAGGGTTGGTGGCTTTAGAGTGGGTGGGGCTTTAGGGTAGGTTTAGGCTAGGTTTGGAGTGGGCTTCGGGATAGTGTTTTTGGTCGTTGGGGCGGACCTAAGGTTTCTTTGAGTTTCTGTCTGGTTGACGTAGGCTTCGTTCAAGGTTGGCTTTGGGGATGCTTTTCAGGGTTTGGGTTTGCCTGCTAAGGTTATCACAACGCCGAACAACGGCGCAAGAAGAAGAGAAGAAGTGGGTGGGGGGGGGGGGGGCAGGCCCCCAAGGATACTATCAACGCAGAATGTGTGATTTGTGATTCGGGCACGAGCCTGTGCCCAGGCAATGGGTTAGTTGGGGTAAACAAGCCACAAAAGAAAGGTTCCCCAAAAGCAAACCAATCCCCGGTCCCAAAGATCAGGGTTTCCCACACACCAGAGAACAACAACCAAAGGAAAACAAACCAAACAAGAAAAGGGTTAACCCGCAACCTTGGTCGACAACAGGCCGCACGACTGGTCCCTACCAACCTGGCGGCGGCCCGAGGTCTCTTTCTCCCCCGAGATGCCGTCGGTCGACGCAGGGGTTCGGCGACGCCCATTCGAGGCGCGACGGAACCCAAAAATCTTGAGCCAAACATCACAGGTCAGTCACTACCGCGACATCCCTGTTGATGAAATGAATCATGGCTAATCACACCCCCCTCACGAGGAGTCCGTCATTTGACGGGCGGAGCGTGCCATTTACTGATAGGATTTAACTGCTCGCATGCGTCCGCAAACAGCTGGACACTACCGCCGTCAGCGGTGGAGCAAACCCACAAAGGCAGTTGCGCGACATCCCGGGCATTAAATTCCCGCCACCACCCCGAATTAATCGGGGTAACGCTGTCCAACATACCTTGTGGAAAGGTCCACATGACGACACTAGGTCACAACTGTTTGCATCAACAATGCAAGAAGTTTAATTCTTATCAGAAGCCATGAAAAAGAAGATAACGTATGTCCATCTAGCACCCTCGCCTAACGGCAAGAGGTACTCCTGACCATGCGTACCTGAAAAATGCTTGAATTCCGCAAACCCGGGAGTAACCCCCCATCAGTTTGCTTTCCCTCTCACTCACACTGCTTCCCGATGAACACGTCCAGCAGCCCAGCAGCGGTACGGGAGAGACATGCCCTCCGCGCCTCAGCGGTCCGGGAGGAACATCACCACCTCCGCACCGCGCCGACCATTGGAGAATGGACGCAAGCCTATCGGCCGCAATCCTCGTGACTCAGCCTATCGGCTATCGTCACGTCTCCTCCGGTCACGTCCGCCCCGCGCGCGGTCCCTATCACGATCCCTTTCGGATCTCCTGCGATCATCTCGCCTTCGATCTCGCTCCCGATCGAGTGAATCATCATCACGACGATCACGAGCATCATCCCTCCTTCGGTCGCGATCATCCTCGCGCCGCGGACGGTATCTGCGCCTTCTCGACTCTCTGGAATCCCTGGTGTCCACGGTCCTAACGGACCTCCGAGAAGGAGTACGGGAAACATCCGATTCCCTACGCCTCCTCCCAGAGCGAGAGTTCGTCACGATCTGGTTGAGAGCCTCCAGTGCTGACGCGTCCTCACCATTTCTAATGAAATCCCTGACTTGCTTGTTCAGCACTCTGTTGGTGGAGACTGCCAAGAGAGCGTCCACCACCGAACTCCCAGGCAGCACCAGGAAGTGACCCTCCACCGGGCTCGCCGCAGTTCGCTCAGCCGACTGCAACCTGATCTCACCGCCTTCAGGCTTCTTTGCCATTGCCTTGGAGGCCGTCAAAGGCGCTACCGCGTCCTTTGCCGAAGATCTGCCAAGCGCGGAGTGAAGATCATCCCCACTAGCTTCTCTCGCTGCCGCACCTGGTCTGCTGTCGACGTCATCAGGCCTTGTTGATGCCTCCCGCTTTGTCGACTCCTTCACAGTCTCATCGGGATCCCAACGGGACTTCCTTTCTCTCTTCTGCCCTTCAGCCGACCCCCGACTACCGCCAGGAGCGTCGTCTCCGCCTACCTTTTCCTTTTTGACCTCAACCCTCGGTTCGGCCTGCTTCGTCTCCTTAGCCTCAGCCTTCGGAGCCGGAGCACTCTTCGCCTCAGACACTGAAGCGACCTTCCCTTTTGGCTCGGCCTTTGGAACCGGGGCCATTTTAGCCTTCGCACTCGGCCGGGCTCCTTCAACCGCTATCGCGACCCAAGTCTTCTTCGGCTGAGCCGCTGCTGCATCAACCTCCATCGGAGCTGGTCCAGCATCATCCTTTGCTTTTGCCTTTGGGACAGATGGGCTACCGCCCTTACCAGATCCTTTACCTGGCGCTTCACCTGATTTCGGTGGTGGGCCGGAAGGACTACCGCCCTTACCGCCCTTTTCTCCCTTCTTTCCTTTTCCTTTTCCGCCCTTGGTGATCGGCTCCTGCTTGGGACCAGGACCCGGCGCAGCATGATGCACCGATTGAAGCCCCTCGACGTTCACGTCCAATGGCTCGAGCTGACGACCATCAAGAACCGTCCTCACCCTTTCGTCACTAACGTAGACGAATGGGTCGCGGAAGGGGGCGGGAGGCTCCGACTGTCCGGCACTGATCGCCTTCTGCACCTTGGCTATCGCCTCCTTCAACCTCTTCTTCTCATCGTACCCTGTCTCCGATACCATGTACTGCCTAAGCCGCGATATCAATGCATGACTTGCCAGGATGTCCACGTCCTTCCGATGGGTCGGATACAGTGGAGTCAGATGACCCGCCGCGGAGCCAATCACGTATGCCATCGGGATATAGAAGGACAAGTACGTGTCATGGCGAGCGAACTTCCTAACGGAAGTTGTCATACGCCTACCCCATTGAGCAGCATGCCTTGGGTTAGCTCGGAAGTACTCTGTGACCGACTCAAATCTATCGACTTGGTTGGTCAATATCAGGTGCTTCGCCACCCGCTTCTCCACGAACGCATCCGAGGCCGAAATCCCCGACACATAGGAGAATTGGAAGAGCACCTTCGCCAGCTCATCCCACGCCGTGTCGACTCCTCCCCTGTCCTCACCAAGATAAGGGGGCAGTCTGATGCCGCTCTGCACCGTCATCCTCAGGTCGGATGCCATGGAATAGGAAATCAAGTTCCTCTTGATGACTCCGACCACTTCGGAGGGAATCCTCTTGGGCTTGAACTGTCCCATGGTCCTCACCCACTCCGGGACGATGCGGCACCTCTCGAAGTCTCTTTCTTCCGCGTTGGGGATAAAGTTCGGGTAGAAGACCGGGAGCGCACACCCAGGGCACAAATGCATCCCATTTGGCGTCATCTCCGCGCACCTCAAACAGAACGTGGTGGTCACATTCAACCTGACCTCTTCACGCGATCACCTGTGCTCTCCCCTAACAGGGGTGAAGTCACCATAGTCCCATGCCCGATGGTACACTATCGTGTAATCATCGTACATGTATGCTGCCTTCCAAGCTCCCATGTGGATCTCGTTCCGAACGGCAAGGGTCTTCCTTCTCGTCAAAAACACGGGTCCAACCAAAGACCAGTGCACCCGAAGGTCCACCATTACCACCACGTACCTCCCCGAGTAGTTCCGCAGCCTGTCCCTGACGTACCACGAAGGCGATACCTCGGCATTCGGCGCCATGGTTCCCACAAGTGGGATCAGGCCCTCATCCTGCCTTCCATCCCCAATGGACTCGTACACATCGGGCCTCGTGATCAATATCTCGATCATGGCCTTTCCGTTTCGCCTCACCCTTTGGAGCTGAACCGCCTTCCTAAAGTCCGAGAACTTCATGACGACGTACCCCACCATGGGGAGTTCATTCCAGTGCATCTCGTACATTAGAGATCCGCAGGTGCATCTTCTTGGGTGTACCTTTGCCTAACGGCACTGTAGCTCATGTCACGTCCGATCCGCGTGTGCCTAACGGCCACTAACCTAGTGCTCTCCTTGAGGAGGACACCATTCCCATCGTACATGACCATGAGCATCGTCTCAACTTGCCCTATCGGGAAAGCTTTGATCGTCGGAATGAAGAATTTCCACGACATCTCGGCGTTCTCCATGCCCGAGATCCCTCAGGAACCAGATGGCCTGGTCACTATTCACCCAGTTTCCAGCCTCACGCCCGATTTCCTTCAGCACACGTTCCTCGAATAACTCCGAGACTCTCTTCGAGTTGATGACCAGACCCTCAAAGTCACACGAGAGCAGTCTCATCAACTCCTTAGCCGC